TTTTGATTGGAAATTTTTTTCTCAAAAAATGGCGGTGTAGCACAAAAAGTTCAGCGACTAAGTGACTTGCACTATAGCTGATAAAATTTTTCTGATATAAAAAATTTTTTCTGAGGGCATCACTTTCTAATACGAAAATGATCTTTGGGATCCAGCCGATTAATCTATAAATAAAAATCCAGCTGTTGTCCTTGTGGTTTTTGTAAAATCTTCTTTAAAAGTTAGTCGATTGACTGTTTTACTTTGCTGATCGTTAAATTAATTCGTGTTACCATTAAAGAGTTCAAGAGATAACGGCTTTTTTTTGCCAAAACAGAAGGGAGAAGGGCCGTTATGATAGATGATCACTATTTTAAAATTATATTGTAAAACCTTTAGTTGTACCCTCATTAAATTAACTAACCCCTAGATAGTAATAAGTATTAAATATCGTTAAACACGTGCAACCAAAGAAATTTGTCCCTCTATAAATGCACACCCTCCATAAATGCACGCTGTCCCTCGGTCCCAAGGGGGGTGCATTTATGGACTGTATAGGATTTTCCTTTATGAGTTCGAATAATTTAGATTATCAAAAAAAATTTTTAAGTTAATATTTAAAATTAATTGTACGACGGATTTCGGTTTAAAAAAAAATTTTTTTTCTGCATCTCAAGCAAAAAGAAAAAAATTCAAACAATGGCAACTAAAGAAGTTTTAACAAATATATATTCACAATATTTAGTACCATTTGCAATTAATGTAAATGTGACAATTAATAGAAAATATCCAACTGTTGCACCATATTTCGAAGGAGCATCAGTTAATAATGTATTAGTAATGAGTGGCTGTTTTATATTAAGTACTTTGGCTTTTGCTTATTTGGTGAAAAATATTTTGGTAAATATTACATAAAAATGCATATAGAATACGTATAACATCTAATTAACTATCAGTTGCTAATTGAGTTAATTTAATGATGGATAGTATATAAAACCACGTAAAAATGAACCACCAATAGTACCATATTGGATTCCATATATTGGGTCAACTATGACAATGGGAATAGATCCAATTAAATTTTATCGAAAAAATCAAGAAAAGGTAAATAATAAAATAAAAGTAATTTTTTTAAAGATTTTTTTTTGCTAATATTTTTATTATGTGTATGCTGCTACTTAAATAGTATGGAGATTATTTCACATTTATTTTATTGGGTAGAAGAATGGTGACATGTCTTGGAACAAATGGTAACAATTTTTTGTTTAATGCAAAAGTAGCAGATGCATCAGCTGAAGAAGCATATAAAGGATTAACAGTACCAATATTTGGTAAAGGTGTGGTTTATGATGTACATAACTCTATTTTAATGGAACAAAAAAAGTATATTTTTTCAATTTTAATTAATTTTAAGTAGAATATTATATTATAGCATATTATTAAATAATGTAATATAATATGATATAATAGATTTGTTAAATCTGGACTTTCAAATGAAAATTTACGTGCATATGTTCCAATGATTGAAATGGAAACTAAAAATTATTTTATCAGATGGAATAAAAAAACTGGAATTGAAGATATTCATAAAGCAACATCTGAACTAATCATTATGACAGCTTCTAAATGTTTATTAGGAGAAGAAGTTCGATCAAAACTTGATGAAACATGTAAATATATTTTATTATTTTTATCATTAAAAATATTCTACAAATATTTTTATCATTCAATTCACTGATTAATTTCTTAGTTGCACAAATATTCCATGATCTTGATGGTGGCTTTAGACCAATAAATTTTCTTTTTGAGAATTTACCAACAAAAGCCAACAAATTACGTGATCAAGCACACATTAAAATGCGTAGTTTCTTTTTGGATATAATGAAATCACGTCGTGAAAGAGGTGTCACTGATGGCACAGACATTATGCAATATTTGACAAAAGATTGTGTTTATAAAGATGGAAAAAAATTATCAGATGAAGAAGCAGCACATATTATGATTGCAATGTTAATGGCAGGTCAACATACAAGCTCTACAACAAGTGCATGGGCTTTTCTTTACCTTGCCCAGAGTCCAGGATTATTTGAGAAATTAAGACAAGAACAAATCAGAGTGTTGGGATCACTTAATGCTCCATTAACTTTTGAGGCATTGAAGGAGATGACACTGCATGACAATGTTGTTAGGGAGACATACAAAGTGAGCATGATTCTGTAAATATTTATAGCATTTAATTTACCATTGCATGCACTAACAAATTTCTACATATATGAATATAAAGTCAAAATTTGACTAAGACTGAGATTATTGTTTTATTAACAACTTGCTTCAAAAAATTTTTTAAAACAGATACATATGACAAGAAGTTATGTATCAAATTTGGTGGCAATTGCTACACAACAAGGGTATCAAACGAGGGTATGAAGACATTCAATTCAAAATTTTAATAATAAAAAATTGTGTAGATCACTGGAAATTTTTCGGAAAATAAAACTTGCCCCCAGGGTGCGAAATCCTATTATAAAATTCCAGCCATTCTGATAAAATTTTAGAATGTCCGATAAAAATTTTGGGAATTGGCCATTTTCTGAGTTACACAATGTAATTCTAAATAAATTTTAAATTTAAATTTATTGAAATTTCTAAATCTCTCTTCTTTTCATTCTTCCAAATTAACCAGACCTTTTGAAAATCAAAAACTTTGCTATCTGGGCCTTCCAAATCAACTCTCATCCATAAATATAATGAAGATGCAGTTAATAAATTTCTACATTTAGTTTTGATCAAATTTTGTTTTGAAAAACCATGTTCACATTCTAGGTATTGTATGTGCAATTAGAATTAATTTAATAATATTTGGGAAAAAATCAAAATATTCCTCATATTGTGAGATTGTAAACCGTGGACCAACCAATTGACCGTTAATATTGACCAATTAGAACGAACTTACCACGGAAGTCATGTGATGTGCTAAATATTACATCATGATTAACGATCATTAGGGATGGGAACGGTTCAACCCAAACAGGTTCAACCGGCAGTTCGAAACCGAACCGATGCGGTTTGGTTTACACATTTCAAACCGCGGTTTAATCAACCGCGGTTAAACCCCGGTTCAAACCCCGGTTCAGTGGTCCTGACCAATAAAAATTAACTACATTTATTTTAATTTTTTTTAAGAATGTACCACCAATATATTCCTTAAAAAATATTTTTTTTGCAAGAATGTCAATTGACGAAAGAATTGATAATGCTGCACTTTCACCTACTTCAATTATTCAAATTTTTGATAATGATACCAATAATAGTTCATAATCATCCAAATTCCTGATATCAATAATTCAATTCAAATACATGACATTATGCTTGTACCTTCCATTTCATCATCAT